TGAACATCATGAACTGGGTGTTGTCTGACCCACAGAGTCATAAAGTTGGACGTGCACAGCAGCACTCCATCATTAAATGAAGTAGTATATCAGACATTGGGCTTGAGCAGAACCTGAAGGCACAAGTAAGTTGCATGAGGAAGTGGCCCAAATTCCTATGGTCTCCACTCCAGTCACAGTACTTTCCCTCTCCCAGTCTGCATCTATGGCCTCATTGGGAGTTCCTTATGATCAGTTGACTGAGGAAGAGAAAACTGGTGCCTGGTTTACAGATGGTTCTGTGTGATATGTAGGCAGCACTCAAAAGTGGAGTGGCACTGCACCCGTTTCTGGGCCTTCCCTGAAGGAGAGTGGTGAAGGGAAATCCTCCCAATGGGCAGAACTTCAAGCTGCATATGGCTATTGCCTTTGCATAGAACAAGAAATAGTCAGATGTATGAGTATATACGGATTCATGGACTGTGGCCCATGGCTTAGTTAGATGGTCTGGGACTTGGAAGGAGCATGAGTGGAAAATTGGCGACAAGGATATATGGGGAAGAAGTATGTGGATGGATCTCTCTGAATTGGCCAAAAACGTAAAGATATTTGTGTCTCATGTGAATGCCCACCAAAAGGCAACCTCAGCAGAGGAGGACTTTAACGGTCAGGTGGATAGGATGACATGTTCAGTGGAAACCAGTCATCCTTTTACCCCAGCTGCTCCTGTCATTGCTCAATTGGCTCATGAACAAAGTGGCCGTGATGGCAAGGATTAAGGTTATGCATGGGCTCAGCAACATGGACTTCCACTTACCAAGGTTGATTTGTCTACCACCATTGCTGAGTTCCCAGTCTGCCAGCAGCAGGGAACAACACTGCATTTGTGATATTGAACCATTCCTTGGGGTGGTCAGCCAGCAACCTGGTTACAAGTTGATTACATTGGACAACTTCCAGCATGGAAAGAATAGCATTTTGTTCTCACTGGAATAGATACTTATTCTGGATGTGGATTTGCCTTCCCTGCATGCAATGCTTCTGCCAAAACTACCATCTGTGGGCTTACAGAATGCTTTATCCAATACCATGGTATCCCACACAGCATTGCTTCAGATTAAGGGACTCACTTCACAGTAAATGAAGGGCAGCAATGGGCCTATGCTCATAGAATTCACTGGTCTTACCATGTTCCCCATCACTTTGAAGCAGCTGGTTTGATAGAACAATGGAATAGCCTACTAAAAACACCAGCTAGGTGGCAATACCTTGAAGGGTTGGGGTAATGTTCTCCAGGAGATTGTATATGCTCTAAACCAGCATCCAATATATGGTGCTGTCTCTCCAACAACCAGGATTCATGAGTCCAGGAACCAGGGAGTGGAAACGGGAGTGGTACCACTCACTATTACCCCAGTGATCCATTCAAAAAATGTTTGCTTCCTGTTCCTGCTACCCTATGCTCTGTGGGTCTGGAGATCTTAGTCCCAAAAGGAGGGACATTCCCACCTGGAGACACAATACTGATTGCATTGAACTGAAGTTAAGAATGCCACCCAGCCATTTTGGCCTCCTCACGCCTCTGGATCAACAGACAAAGAGTGTTACTGCACTATCTGTTGTGCTAGATGTTGATTACCAAGGGGAAATATGGTTGACATTACATAATGGAGGTAAAGAATATGTCTGGAATACAAGATATTCTTTAGGACATCTCTTAGTCCTACCATGCCCTGTGATTAAAGTCAATGGAAAACTACAGCAACACAATTCTGATATGACTACTAATGGCCCAGATCCTTCAGGAATGAAGGTTTGGGTCACCCCACCAGGCAAAGAACCACAACCAGCTGAGGTGTTTGCTGAGGGTAAGGAAAATACAGAAGGGGTGGTGGAAGAAGGTAGTTCTGAATATCAGCTACAACTATGTGACCAGTTGCAGAAATGAGGACTGTGATGGTTATATTTCTTCATTGTATATGTGCATCAAATATTTTGTTTCCTTCTGTTATGAACTATGAAATGTAAATGGGTTAATGCATTTGTTAGAGCTGGACAATGAATACGGAAGACCAAAGAAGAGTTGATGCTTTTGAGCTGTGGTGCTGGTGAAGAATACTGAGAGTACCATGGACTGCTAAAAGAACTAACACATCTGTCCTGGAAGAAGTGCAGCTGGAATGCTCCTTGGAAGTGAGAATGGCCAAACTTCGTCTCACCTACTTTGGTCATGTTGTCAGAAGGAATCATTCCCTGGAGAAAGATCTCATGCTTGGTAAAGTGGAGGGTCAATGAAGAAAGGAAAGGCCGTCAACCAGATGGATTGACACAGTGGCTGCAACGATGGGGTCAAGTATAGCAGGGATGGTGAGGTTAGCACATGACCGGGCAGTGTTTCATTCTGTTGTACATAGGGTTGCTATGAGTAAGAGTTGACTCAAAGGCACCCAACAACAATGACATCACACAGGAAATTACAAAGTTTTGGAGATTACCTTTAAAACTAAGTTATATTCTAACCACCACTTCCTTCCATGTCCAGATGTCTCCACCTTGTACACCCCACACAGATGTTACAGAGAAAGCATTTCTTGTACCCAAGTCCCTTTATGTTTTTGAGTGGCTTGAAATGAATGTAAGAGTATACAATGATTAAATGGGCTGGCTTGCTAAATACTGGACCCATGATAGTCCAATCTGTGTGTGAAGTCTCTTGATGCAGTATTTTTTAACACAAAGTTTTAAAACTGTAATGTCAACAGTACCCCCATTATCCTCCATTACATGGTGGCTGTTGATGACTTGCCTTGGTGACTAAACTGTCCAGGACAAATATCAACACCTGCACGTTGGAATGTTGCTTTAACAGCCGCTCTGTGTCCCTGGCATCTCTAATAAATAAGTAAGCCTCTTTTTCAAGCTCAAAAGATTTCCAGAAAAGAGACCTGCTTCACAGGTCTGACCTCTCTCTTAGTGCCTCAGCTAGGATTATGTACCTAGAACCCATGAATAATGTCAGACTAAAATAAAGTGTTTGGCAAAAGACTGTTTAACACTCTCTCCTCCTCAATCTGCCCCTAAATAATGGTTGAATTGTCCTGATTTCATGACTTATTATCATTATCTCATTAGTGACAGGGCTTTTCAACTGGGAAAATATTCTTTCAAGTATTGGTAGACTTTGCTACCTAGGAATCACAATGCTACCTCTAAACATTAACTGCTCTATTATTATTCGATCAAAAGTTATTTTCTGAAATTAACATGTAAAGCATTTTATCCTATATGCTTTTAAACCGAATCATTTATTACTTAAAACTCATGTTTCTAAGGAAGGCAAGTGCATGAACCTTCTCATCTCTCCTGTCTCTGCCCCTTAAAATGTAGCAATTACTGCCATTAGGAGGAAAAAAAGGTGGAAAATCCCCAGGTACAACTAGTTAGCAACCTGTTCCTGGGGAGTCAATAGGCCCATTTTCCTTTTCCTCTTTTCATTTAAGAAATATTCGTCTAGAGTAAGAGAAGCACTTGTAGCTGCTGGCAAATACATTCTCCAGGAATTCATTAAACCAAGTAAAAAGAACAGTGTTTAAATGATTAAGTAGCTTATATAAGCTTTTACAAAATGAAAATCTAATTAAAATGGTACTCATAGAATTCAAGACCCTAATAATTGACCTCTTCACTCATCTGTCAGTTTGTTGTACTGTGGTGGTGTGGGTGTTCTGTGATGCTGGAAGCCGTGCCACCAGTATTTCAAATACCAGCAGGGTCACCATGGTGGGCAAGTTTCAGTGGTGCTTCCAGACTAAGACAGACTAGGAAGAAAGACTTGGTGGTCCATCTCTGGAAAAACTGGCCACTGAAAACCTTATGAATAGCAGTGAAACACTGTTTGATCTAGTACTGGAAAATGTTATGAATATCAGTGACGCAGTGGCTACAATGATGGGCTCGAGCATAGCAGATTGGGAGGATGGTGCAGGATCAGGCAATGTTTCGTCCTGTTGTACACAGGGTTGCAATGAGTTGGATTCAACTTGACAGGACCTAACACCACCAACAACAATAATTGACCAAAATAACTGTGATAGCTCTACTAGAGGGCTATGCCAAAGAAAGGCAGTGCTATCATTACAATTATTATGATGAGGAGTCGCTGGATGTAAAAATGGTTAATGCGTTCAGCCACTAAGTGAAAAGTTGAAGGTTCAAGTCCTTTCAAAAGATAGACCTGGCAATCTACTTCTGAAGAACCAGCCATTGAAAACCCTATGGAGCATAATCTACTCTAACATCATGAATTGAAGTCCAGTTGATAGCAACTAGTGGTTTACTATGATGATGTAATATTTTGGTGAGCTTTTAGGGCTAAAAGTATGTAGGAGGTCCTGCCTTTGTGGTATATATTGGAATAAAATTCATTTATTCCATTAATTCTTTTTTTTTTTTTTTTTATAAGCTCTCTGTGCTGTTTTAAAAGTTAGGGAATCGGTCATAATTCCTAGAAATTGCATCTGATGACAGATCATTTCATCACAGTGGGAAAGTCATGTTCAAGTTTGCCAGCAAGGAGGAGGCATGAAGAGGATCTCAGCAGAAAACTCCAGAACTATCTCTATTTTGTGTACTTGATAGGCATTTTGCGATCTGCCCCAAAGCATTTGGAACTCTTACTCATTACAAGCATGTCTGAAAAATTACACATGGAGCAAACCGTTGATAAAAATATATTTAAAACAAGCAAGAAAAAATAGTTTTGGTCTCAAGGATAACTTTCATCATTCTTTTAACCAGGTGTTAAATTATATGTACAATGATTTCAAGTACCAACTTATAAAAGATGTCATAAATCAAAAAAACAAAGAACAACAGGACTCTTTTTTTTTTTCAGAAAAATGTATTTGCAATTCAAATGTTCATATAAAAAGCATAAAGTTTAAAAAGTTCATAGATGTGTTTTTTTAGAAGTGGTATGGTTTCACCATTCAATGAAATTATATTCCAAAATGTGCTAGGTGGTCCACGCTCTACTTTTGCTACACTGAGGTCACTCTCATCACGACCTCACCCGAGATGTTATCTTCTGACAAATCTTCATGAGGCCTCATCCGATTGAACAGATGTAATAATACATAGCCACACTGAAACCGTGGGGAGGTCAGCTGCGTTGGGTGGATCAAGTTTCTGTTCCGCAGAGCCGTCAATGGCAACCATAAAGTCCTACTTGTGGAAGACTCCCCCCGGCTACTTTCTTCAATGTCTGTGGCTTTGTCATAATTTAAGACATCCCAGTGCAAGTTAACAGCTCGCCAGCGCTTAAACACTCTGTAAACTGCAGCTCCTTCATGGACAATGAGACCTAAAGTTTGGTAATAAAATAAGACTGGTTATAATCAAACCCGACAAAGTTATTTCGTATACAACTAAGTAACTGTCCTTTATCTGTTATTTATCATCATCAAAGAATAAGATACACTGACTACTCAAATATTATGTCAAATGTCTAACTACTACCCATATTACAAGAATAACCAACACTCGAAAAACAAGAATACAGCAAAATGCAGAGAGTGAAGTCCTTGTGGATATAACACACTTGCTCCATCCTGGCTCACTAGGATGGTCATTTTCAATGCCTTAGGATAAGCCTTAGGTCCCTGTACTCATTTACCATGTTTCTTGAGTGTCCACCATGTGCCAAGAAACATGTTAGAGGCTTGGATCCAGAGGGCTACTAAATTTTGGGAAAAGATAGGTATTAGGGTCATTGCTGTCTCCCCAGTTCCAAAAATAATGTCCAATACAGAATTGGTGTGATTAAACTTTGTTTTTGCTCTTCTCAACAATTCAACAAAACTTTATTGAGCAACTACTTGAAGCTTTATGAATATGTTATCTCAGTTCTCACCAGAGCCTTGTGAAATAGGTGCTAACATTTCCCTCATTTTACAGACAAGGAAATCCTACCACAGGGACCTCAAGTGACTTGTTCAAGAGCATTTAACTAGTAAGAGTGGAGCAGGAATTCAAACCTGGGCAGGCTAGTTCCAGAGTCCTTGCTCTTTCCTGCTCATAAATACAGAATTGCTGTCCTTTGAAATTCATAAAGCGAACTGATGTTTACACATTGTGAAACAGACTCACAGAGAAATGCAAGAAAATCACACTATAAATTAGGAGTCCATAACAAGAGATAGTGCACTGATACATTCTGTCTGGCAGAAGCACACTGGAGAAACTTGAATCTGAGTGTCTTTGGATAAGGTGCACCCTCTCCACTGTTCACCTCAGATCTCAATTCATATCCTGCATTTTTCACCCATCTACTAAAATAGCATGTGGTCTACAAGCTTTTAAACCTGGGACCCCTCACAAAAAAAAGGAGTCCCTGACAAGTTTCCTTCAGACAGAGAAGTGTGGAGGAGCTCTTCCCTTTAAGGAGCTATTCCACTAAGAAGTCAGTGGAGAAGCCAAGATGGAGGATGGCATCTAAGTAGACCTTGTCAATGGCCACCACTTTTAACAATAAATTTGAAAATTAGCAGATCCTATCTCATAGCATGTAGATTCTTGGGTATACATTTTAGAGAAACACTCAGACGTCTGCCACCCCAAGGAAGTATGTTCACAAATATTACTGTAAACTTGTCTTTGAGAAAAAACTTGCAAACAGTCTCAATGTTTATCCTCAGAAGAATGAATACAGTTTAATATATGGATTCAGTGGGCTATAGGAATGAAATGAACACAGTCACATGTACGAACATGGGTTAATCTTAAAACTATAAAGAAAATCTCAAAGCCGTAATGAAAAATGGCAAGTTGAAGGAAGAAATGATTGGGATGATTCCATTTGCAAAACAAACCAAGATACAGTATACAATTTTATGGATTCATATATACATGGTAAAAATATAAAAACATTCACTGGAATGAAAACCACCAAGAGAGTGGGGAGAGAAGGAAAGAAAGGAGATTCGGAAGGGTCCAAAGACAGCTTTCAGTTGTATCCCTAATATTTGCATTTTAAAATCTGGATAGTGGGGATATGGATGTTCAAGATATTGCTCTGTATTCGTTTTGTGAGCCTCAATAATTCATAATTACAAAAATTATGAAGAATGTATTAGGAAAATTAAGCTAAAATTGGATTGAGAAATAGACAAGCAGAAGTTGGGGAGACAAATAAGGAGGTTACCACAGTATGTGGGCATAGAGTGGCAGCAGTAAGATGAAACAAGGGCAAAGTAATGAATACTTCAGAGGTAAAATTGGCAAGAATTGTAATGGAATAGAAGGAAAAAAAAATCATTGTCCCCCATTTTTAAGGCTAGAGGAATGGGTGGTTGAAAAGTTGACAATAACCTTCTCCTAAGATAGGTACAGTGAAGAAGGATCTTGAGGATGCTTTTGGTGGAGAGAGTCTTTCATGTTTCTGTCAGCTAAAATAATGCATGGAGATACCTAGTTCTGGAAAGACACAGCCACCTCTTATCACAGCTTAAGTTCTGCACCGCCCTCTTCCATGGGGATAAACTGACACATGTGACTCAAAATCACTCCAAAGATACTAAGGTAGGCCACAAAGAAATGTGTGTAGATATAAAAGAAGAGGATGCAAAGAGTGCATGTGGCCAAGAAATAGTCTTAAACCCAACTGTTGTATATCATCAGAATAATGAGGATAAAGTTAACCCTCTATTAGTCACCACAATTTCAACAAATTGTGTAGATCAATTTCTTTTTCAAAAGAAAGTTAATCAATTAACCATATGTTTTAGGGGAAGGGCCAGAATTATAAGTCAAGATTGATAGATTTTAATTGCTGTTTCTGTGAATAGCTTTCTGAATTCTCCATGGCCAATGGTTCAACCTTTCTGCTTCAAGTTTTCCTCCTTAATATGGAATTGGCATACCTAATTGTTATGTTCAGCAGGAGAGTATGAAGATAAAGTGGAATTCATCAACCATAAACCACTCAAGTTCCCTGTGAGATGGAAGTCATATAAATATAAGACATTATTATTAATTTAAAAATCAATAGTGAATCTATGTGGTAAGAAACATTCATTCACACTAATCACAAAACAATTACAGCCTGGGACAGGTTTGTTCTGGAAAGTACTGCGATTTTACAGGATCCTATTCCTTTTCTATTGATTTTCCTTGAAAGGCCAGAAATCGGATCATTTACTAGAGCTTAAAGTTACTTTCTGGGACTATATTCTTGCTAGCTCTTTTCTAAATATATAAACCTGCTAAATGAGCAGAAATGAATCCCACAGGTCTTTATAGTACATTTAGAACTGAATGTAAAGAGACAGAACTACTTGAAGTTTTCATGAAGACACTTTTCTTGAATTTCCAATTCCATGTTCTGTTGCTTAATTGCATTTCTACTTATGAGTGAAGCTAAGAGTTTGGTTTATTCCCCGTGAGTATTCAGAATTGCTCCAGCCCTCTAGAAGCATAACTTGTACTCAAATATGATGAACTTCCCACAAGGCTGTTGTCTGTGCTGTGCATTTTTTCCTCTTTCTTCTTTAAATGTTTTTGGAATTGGGCAACTGCCTTACTAGTGGTTATGAAAAGACATGACTGCTATGAACATTGACATCCAGGGGAACGGATTCATTCAACTCTATGTGTTGGAAATCTAGCTTTTAGAAGCACTACTGATGTCTTTTGTTATTTGTTCTGTACTGGAGGAATTCACTTTCTCCCATGACCTTGGCTCTCTGCCTAATACCGCAAAAGTTAGGCCTTCAAATGCATTGCTCATCTTGAAATTTTAGATCATGTCAATACAGCCTTGGATTAACTTTGTCATCTAAGTCACTAAACCCAAAGGGAAAAGCAATAATAATTTCTTTAATATGTAAATATTGAATATTTTAGGATACTTGCTACTTAATGGCATGATGTCAATTAAGATGTGATTCATGGGAATGGAAATTTCGGCTTTTGAGAATTGAGTGGTGTATGTGTGTGGTTGGATTTTGTTATTTTCTTCCTATTTAGTACTTGGAGTAGTCCTTTAATGGTGTGCAAATATCATGTTTTTAGGGAATACTCTTAAAAAAAAAAAAAGCAAGTTGGAATAGTTTCTGATTTCAGTGAAATGAAAGCAGTTCTTATGTCAGCCAAATCTATCCTAAATTTTGAAGTAAAGCATTAGTGGAAATTCTTACACGGTAGTACAAGATGAGCTAATTACCCAGAGGAATGGTGAAGAAGATTATCAATGTACCCATGTGCATGTGCACATGTGTGCACACACACACATGCACACTCCCTGTGTGTCTATGTTTATCTCAACATCTAAGTTGTTATAATTAACAGAGACTTGAGAAACTTACAGTGAAAATACAAATACATGTTCTGTAACTACAAAATTCCACCAATTGTCTATCAGTTTGTCATACTGTGGTGGCTTGCATGTTGCTGTGAGGCTGGAGGCTATGCCACTGGTATTTCAAATACAGTAAGGTCACCCATTTAGGACAGGTTTCAGTGGAGCTTCCGGCACAAGACAGAGTCAGAAGAAGGAAGGGGCAATCCATATCTCAAAGAATTGGCCAGAGAATACCTTATGAATAGCACTACAATACTGTCCAATATATTACTGGAAAATTAATGAACAGCCATGAAATGTTGTCCAACAGAGTGCCAGAAGATGAGCCCCTCAGGTCAGAAGGCACAAAAAGTACAATTAAGAAAGAGCTACCTCCTCAAAGTACAGCTGACCTTAATGCTGTGGATAGAGTAAAGCTTTTGGGACTTCCATTTGCTGATGTGGCATGACTCAAAATGAGTAGAAACAGATGCAACCATCCATTAATAATCAGAATATGGAATGTAAAAAATATGAATCTAGAATAATTGAAGTTGGCAAAAATGAAATAGAACTCATAAAGATCAATATCCTGGGCATTAGTGAGTAGAAATGGACTAGTTTTGGCCATTGTGGATCAGACAACCATATGATCTACTATGCCAGGAATGACAAACTGAACAGGAATGGCGTGTCATTCATCATCACAAAGAATGTTTCAAGATCTATCCTGAAGTAAAATGCTGTCAGTGAGAGGATAATATCCATATGCCTACAGGGAAGACCAATTAATACTTTTATTATTCAAATTTACACACCAACTACAAATGCCAAAGATGAGGAGGAAATTGAAGATTTTTATCAACTTCCGTGGTCTGACATTGACAAAACACACAATAAAGATGTGTTGATTATCACTGGTGACTGGAATGCAAAAGTTGAGTTGGAAAATATGGCCTTGGTTATAGAAATAATGCTGGAGATCACATGATAGAATTTTGCAAGACCAATGACTTATTCATTGC